GGCGGGGGGGTGCCGGGCAGGGATTCGCACGAAGGGGAATGCAGAGTCAGGGCGTCTCTGAGGCAGGAACCGAGAGCCTGGGTCAGGCCAGGTAGCCCAGAAAGAGGAAACCACCTCCAGCTGGTCTGGGGCACCGTCAGGGCTGCTCCGTGGGGCATGCTGCTGGCACAGGGCTGGGTTCTCACTCCCAAGTGGGGTCACGTCTGCAGCTCCTGCCCGCGCCAGGTACAGGAAGCACGGGGGAGGGAGCGAGGCGCCCGAGGACTCCAGCAAGGGCTGGGGCCACCCCAGACGCCCCTGCCTGGCCCCTGCAGCCTCCACCCGTTGCCCTCAAGCCAGCCGTTGGGACGGGAATTGTGGATGGAGCAGGCAGGACGGATGCCTCTGCTCAGAAGGGCCCGCCGGCCTGGCCCTGTGCGCGCCCTCCTTGGAGAGGAGCACAGACGCCAGGTCACGCTGGGCTCAGATCTCCGACTCCTGCCCCGCGAGCTGCTTTTCAGGCGGAACACGTATCCCGGCTGGGGACTCCCACGTGGCAGCCCCACGGGGAGCTGGGAGACAGTGGTCTCTCCATAGCCGTGCCACCCAGGGGACGTGCTGCCCCAGCGCATGCCCCGCCCGTCTCCTGCCCGCTCTGATGATGGGCCCTGGGAAAGAGCCTCTGGGTAACCCGTGCCATCCCGGCCAGCAGCCCCAGTCGTTCGTTGAGTGGAGGTCAGGAAAGCCGGGATGGGGGGGTGGGGGGGAGTGTATTTGTTTCAAAATTAAAAGCTACTCATTTGGTAGGAAGAAAGCGGAAGACATTGGGATTTCCAGGGCGGGAACCCTCCCCTCACAGCCACGTCCACCCTCCTGAGGGGCCTGTCGTGTACAAAGAGCATTTAATTAATTTATTTATTTCTTTACACATAACTGAAGTGATGTTACAGTACATAAGTTATTTACAACTGTGCAGTAATGTGTTGCAAAATAAATTATCTAGAAGGCAGCAAAAGTACATTGTGAACGTGTATAAAACTGTACAGCGTTTACGGGTACACTTTTTATATGATTATTGGCTCTGTAGTGTTTCAAGTTATGTTCTCAGAAAGAGAAACAAAATGCCCAAGATAAAGGAAAAAAATGTACAAACCACGTGGATTTGACTCCATTAAAAACACAACCCGGAGTCCTGCCTGCGTGTCCCTGTGAGGCGGGCGGGCGGCGCAGCCAGGCCCTCACCCGGCCCGGTGTCCCAGCCCAGGTCTCGGGCTGGCACCGTCGGCAGCTTCGTGGCAACAGGACGGCAGCCGGCCCAAAGCTCTCCCCACCCTCTGACCCGGAGGCCGCTGTTGGTGAGGGGTGGACGCCTTAACTGTATTCTCTTTAGTCGATCAGAAACGAAACAAGGAATTTAAAAGAAAAGAACGCTCTCCGTCCTGCAGCTCCTGAGATGCCCGTGCAGCCGCCGTGTCCGTGCCCGCGTCCCCGGCTCTGCGCCCTCCCGCGGCGGCGGGTGTGAGAGAGCCGCGCGCCAGGGGCCCAGCGCGGGCTTCTCCCTGGATGTCCCCACCGGGGACGTGGTCTCCGTCCACCGCCCGGACTCGGCGGCGGACTGGGGGGCTCGCCTGTGACCCGGGCAGCTGTCCCACCGCGTCAGGCCGGAAGGAGCACGAAGTCGTCGTTGACGTCGACCATGGGCACGTAGAAGGACGGCACCTCGTTCACACACAGGGACTTGTGCCCGGCGGGGTCCAGCTCCTGCACCTTCAGCTGCCACTCCATCCTCTGCACAGCGTTGAGGGCCGCGGCCTCGTGCTGCTGCCGCATCAGGAGACACGTCTACGCGGGAAACGCAGCAGGTGAGGGGAGGGGAGGCAAGACCCCGGCCGCCCCCCCGCACCCACTCCCCCTGCCGCAGCGCCTCCCGGGAGGTCGGGGCGGGGGACCCATTCGCGCTCTGGCCTCAGGACGACCTCTTGCGTCTGGGTCTCGTCCTGCGCGGTGAGTGGCCTTGCTGACCACACGGGGGTCTGTCCATCATCCCTGCTCTGTGCCCCCACCCTGGGGGGTTTCACCACAGCCTCTAGTCAGAACTTATAATAGCTTTGCTCTTCTGTTTTCATTTTCCATTTATCTTATTTATGGTTGGTGACATTGGCTTCATTTACATTCACAGTGGAAATTATGCCTTTTAGAAATGCACTTAGTTTTTAAAAATTAATGTTCACGTGTTTACTCGTAAGCGGGTACTAAGTAAGGTAAACAGTTATACTCATGTTGAGAAGGGAGAATGTTGAAACTGAGATAATGACGGTACCTGGGTTACCAACAGCACGTGGTGGTGGGGGGAGGGGCGGCGTTTGGGGTACTAGGCGGGCGACACAGAGCACAGCGGGCGGAAGACCAGCCTTCAGGTGGACAGAGTTAATGGCGTGACAGTGTGCAGGAAGATCATCTTATTTTCTTCGACGTGCACACAAGCATGTAGGGCCAGGTATCACAATTTCTGATTTGCTTAAAACAGTTCAGTTTAAACAAGTGTTCTGGAAACAAGCCCCACGTGCCCCAGCGGCCAGCCGTGTCCTCCTCGGCATGCCTGGGCCGCTTGTCATCCTCAGGGAGACTTGAACACAAAGCGTGACAGCTCAGACACCCTCAGGAGTCCAGCTGCTTTCACCTAATTTAAAGCGCTCTTGACTAGAATTGTACGTACCCCTGAGTTTTCAGTTACTAAAATGAAATTGTTTGTTGGGCTAAACCCCTGAAACGTGACCAGCATGTCGGGAGAGTTGTCCCAGGGCTGCAGGAACTGAGGGAGGGCAGCCTGTCTCCTGAATAGGACCTCGTCCACCCTGTGCTCTGAGACCAGTGGCCACGTGGGTGGCCATTTCGTGCCCCTGCACTCTCCATGCTTCACCAATTCCTTTTTCTATCCATCTGTTTTTCTTATTGGCGTGTAAAAGTAAGTTCTTGGCACGTTAAAGGAAACGAGACTTAACGTTGTCTTTGTAGCGTACCAAATCTAACTTTACTTTGGTCAGAAATTTTTTCTCTCTTGTAAAGTTTCCCGTGCAGCTCCCTCCAGGCTGGCTGGTGGTGGGAGGAGTGACCGTGGGACCCCCGAACGGACACCTTTGCAGCTTGTTAGAAACACGGCCTGGACCCGGCCTCAGCTGGGCCTGAACGCCCTGTAGGCTGGTTCCCCTCTGCTCTGGCCTCCTGGCCGCCCCTCTGGGTGCGCTGCCGCAGTTGCCGGAGGCAGGGTCACTGAGGCAAGGGGTGAGGCTGGCAGCCCAGCGTGGGAGCCTGGGTCACGCCTCCATCAGCTCCACGCAGCGGGCCCTGCCTCCTGGGGCTTCCCGGTGGTGCCGGCTTCTAGGTGTTAATTCTGTAACGGGCACGTCACTGCCGGTCAGTGTTCACGGGGGACCCCGGGTGCAACCCTCGCACCTGCAGACAAGGACTTGCTTCTTACTTGCTAATCTCTCTCTATCTCCCCCCCACCCCCGCCCCGTCCTCTGCCCGCTGCACTGGTCAGCACAGCCAGGGGCAGGGGTGATGGGTGGATGCTGTGACCTTGGAGGAGGGCTCAAGGTGGGGTCCCACAGAGGTCTGACCGCCAGCTGGTGACAGGAGCTGCTCCCCGCACACCTGGACAGGAGGGAAGACACTCTAAGAGGCAACATGGGGGCGGGGAGGCCTCGGCTCCCTCACTGCCAGCTGGGCTCAGAGCGAGTCTGAAGCTGCCTCCTCTGAACACGGCCCTGCCGCCCCCGCCCAGAAGAGCCCTGGCCCCGCCGCCGCCGCCGGGGCCGGGGCTCACCTTCATGCGGTCATACTTGTCGTCCACGTCCTGCAGCCAGGAGATGAACTGGCGGGCGTTGAACCGGTCCCGCACTGACTTGTTCTCATCACCCTGGCGGGAGAGTGAAGCATGTGTGGGCGTCCGGGAGGGGCGGGCCTGCCTGGCGCGTCAAGCCCCGTGTCCCCCGGTCAAGGGCCGACCAGCGGGGCCCTCCCTCCCCCACCAGCTCTCCACGCCGTCCGTGGGGGGAGCTGCCCTGTTGGTGGCTCGGGACCCCGGCGGCGCCTTCAGGCTCCCCTCCGTCTCCCGGGGAGGCCCCAGGGCGAGCCGGCGAGGGTAAAAAGCGGCAGTGACGTTTTCTTCGACAGGACGTCTGCGAGGCCTGGGGTGGCTGCAGGCCGCCCACGGTGGACTGTGGTTTACAAGCAGGGCAGCCTCGGGAGCAGCAGGTCCCCACAGGCTCTGGCCAGCTGGGTTTGCAGGGCCTCCCGGGCCTCGGGGCAGGAAAGTCTCTCTCTCTCTCTCTCTCTCTCTCTCTCTCTCTCTCTCTCTC